TAGCCACTCTCTCATATCTGACAGCACAATTACATACAAACTTGCAGCGAGACCAACTTTTGTTTTCTTTTTGTTTTTACACAACAGAGGTGTTAACACCTTGTGCCACATTTGAGTAATGCTTGGCACCACCCCAAATTGAAGACATTTGTGGTGCAACTGTGGTGCATAATAAGCCGATTAAAATGTAAATCTTTGAAAAATACAAAATATCGCCTTAAATTTGGTTCTTTGCACACACACAGCATATAAAATCGCGTAAAATTTGCAGCAAATTTTGCTTTCAAAATAATGTATCTGTGTCGACTGGCTGGGCTAGGAGCAGTTGTGGTACAGGCGGGGCAGGAAGGTGGGTTGTCGTCAGAGTTGGTCTTCGGAGTGTAACTTGTTATTTAGTGTAATTAATTTTGAAGCCAAAGTGCTAATTAATTCAGAGAGCAGAGCATAGCGCAAACGAATTACTTCTGTTGAAGGCATTGGAAGAAGCATAGAGCAAATTGTCTCGAACATCCGCCGGACAGCGCTAAATTGGATGCGTTGGGCAGCTGGGCAACTGGCTAGCACAGAAGCTGCCGACACCGCCGCCGCCGTCGCCTCACAATTAATGGGCAGACCGAAAACCAAAAGTGAGGCGTAATTTCTGAAGAATTTAGAAGACAGGAAACTTGCATAACTGTACGCGCAGTTCTTCAAAACTTGAAGGTTATTTACTCTTACGCAATGCGACTGCAAAATGTCAGCCCAAATCAGCGATGTGATGTCTCGCCATTCCAGGCCAGCACAACCGAGCATAGCTCAGCCTAGCACAACCTAACCCAACCAGCATAGTCACCAGCAATTGAGCCAATAGTAACGCCTACCAATACCTTTAATTATAGTGCCTGCTGCCCAGGACTGCAGCCCGGGGCTGTTGTGGTATCTGTGGCCATGCAATTCTGGCTGTGGCCAAACAGCGCTCACGTAAAGAAAACATATTTCAAACTAAACAAACTCATCAGAACGCGTGCAAAATTAAAAGTGAAGCGAGAAGATATGTAGACAACGCATCAGGCGGCAGGCAGCGGGCAGCTGGCTTACTACACTGTAAACATTTAACAATTTAAAATAGAAATCAAAATTGGAATTTAAAAAAAACATTGCTTGAATTTTTAATTTGAGGCGAGGGCAGATTAAGAGTCAGGAATTAAAAATATCAAATAGCAACACAAATAGCATTACAAATTTGAATGAAACTTATATTGTTTGCTGTGTACGGAGAGATCAGGTTAAACTGAATAGTGTAAATGTAAAGAATGCCGCTTGTTATGCGCTGCAAGTCGCCAAGGTCGTGCGATTTGATCGCTGGAGCGTTCACTGGGGCTGCTCCCAGTTCTGGTGACGTCATGGCGCTTAAACTTTGATGTCGAGATAGCATTGTCTTTCCATTAGAGATGGAGCGATAGAATGGGATAAGCAGCCAGTTTATATTTATTACCCTCCCAAAGCAAGAGCTATCTTTATATGGGCAAGCCCATAAACTCTATTGCCAAGGCTTAAAACACGTCCATGTTTTCAATTGGCACATAATCGAACACATTAATATTGTACTTGAAAAATAGCATAGCTCTTGGACAGTGTGAGGAAAACACCAGTTTTTTGCTCGCTATTACAAATCATCCATGGCATTTTAGCAATTATAAATAAAATTAATTTTTGTCCATTTTCTCAACACCTTCCCTTGGCGGAAAAACGGGGCCAGAAACTGGGACCAACAAGGCGTTAAAGCGTAACTGCTGTGGATTTAAGTGCTGATGGCCGTGCAGGGTATCATTAGGCCAGGCAAAACAATTTAAATCATCTGCCGCAACCAGCATAACATTATTAAGAAGCGAGCAGTTCAGCCAGTGCATCTGCCTGCCATAGACAATTTTCATAATGGCCAGAACTAAGTCTGCAAGCAGCAGTAACATCAGCCACAAAAATGCTGGGAACGTTGAATGCACCACAGCACAACTTAATTAATAAATTAATGAGCAGTTTGCAGGCAGAAAAACGAGGTCCATTTCCAGTCTCAGACCCATCTGTACAAGATTAACTACATGAGCGCGCTCACCGAGGTCCAAGTTACCCAGCCTTTTTGCGAAAGATTTTGCGAGAAATTAAAATAAATGTGCAACGTGCAAATATGCCTAAGATCCCTGAACAAAAACTAAAGCCGCAGACGTGTTGTGCAATCCAAAAACACTAAAAATACGATACACGATACAACAAAAAATGAACATATTTCATTTATGCAAAAATGAGTTCGGAAATGCCTACACCGTAAAATACGTGTCAGTAAAGCAATGCTCAAAATACCTATATCAACAGACCCGATATCACCTCGAAATGACAGATGACAGCATCAGAAGCAGAGACGAAACGCGATTAGAATTTGAAATACCTCTTATTATATATTTCATAATAATACTCACATCATATAAATTGATGTACTGAATGACTGATGACAGAACTAAATGATTTTTAAAGCTTGCATCATTTTCAAATTTCTTTAAATGGAAACCATTAGTCCAGTTTGTTGAGCGAATGCTAATTTTTAGTCAGACCGAATATTATATATTCATGAAAATTATTATTAAATGAATACATACTACTTTAAGCATATAGGATTTGCATTACCATAATCTGTTTAACATTTTAGCCCAAACATTTATGTGACTGAGACAGTCATAAAATTTTGTTAGACACGCTAATAAACTACTCACACACATATCTCTGTCAACAAGCTATAAATTGCTGACACGCTTCAAAGAATTTTTCAACTGTCCCATTTAAATCGAAAAAGTGTTTTTCCAATGTTTTTCAACCGGTTGATTTACGCCTGTAAATATTCGTACTATTTCTTAAGATACATGATATTGAAGTTAGCTGGTGTTGAAATAAAAAAAAGAAACACAAGTACGGAACTGAGGAGTGCTGCAGGCTTTTGTGGGAAAGGTTAATCATTTTGTTTTCACTCTCTGGTGTCTGCTGCCTCAGTTTAATTATCACAATTCCAGACTTGGTACATGCAAACCGATGTTCGGAACAGCTCATAAATTGTGCGGCGAAAAGTTAAGGCTGACGGCGACGGCTGCGGCTGCTGTGTTGCAACTCAGCCCAACACACAACAAAATGGAAATATTTATTACAACTTGTAAATTGAAAATCGTCTTAGTTTTTGTTTTGACTGCTGCCAAGAGCAACGACAACCAAATGGACTAGAACATGGTGAAAATAAAAAGAAGAAGAATATTGAAATCAATGAAAACTGATAGCCTCGAAGGCAAGAGCCAAGTCATGATTAACATAGGCTCGGCCCTAAGTAGTACTCACTCTGGGATGCACTTGGCCAAAGATGGTACCGGCAAACGTTCGTCTGCGTCTCCGTCTCCGGGTACGGCTTCGAGCTCGAGTTCGAGTTCGAGTTGGGGTTCTCAACGTGTAGCACCTAAGCGACATACCAACACTTAGGCACTTGACCATGCAGCTGCTGCGTCTTCTCCCCCTCCTGCTGCTGCTGATGTTGCAAACGTATCATTAACAAGTCACGACAAATTCGCTTTCAGACATTTGAAAAGCCAATGCCAAATTTGGTGAGGACAACGCCGACAGTTGGCTCAGCATTGGCATTAGATAAACTCCCAACTTCCAACAAGTACAACTTTCAACTGTCTCTCTCTCTCTGCCTCTCTCTCTCTCTTTCTCTCTCTGTGTATTATTCCAGCTCTCCCGCCCTTTGTTCCAAGTACATGGACATGGTGGCTGGCACTGGCAATTGGTGACTGCCGGCGGCTGCTTTGAACAGACCACCGCCAGTTTAGAGGTGTGAAAAATCTAAAATGCAAACACGCTTCGAGTGCCACAAAACTCTTTCTGTATCTGTATCTGTATCTATAGTTGGAACTCTGCTGCACTCCATTTGTAGTTGTTCCCCTGGGCGCTGCCCAAAAAAATATAAAAAAGAAAATGGAGAAAAAAAAAAACAAAGCAAAAATATCAAACCAAGGATGTGGGGTTGCATCCAGTATACGATTCTCATACGCATGAATTATTTATTTCGATTGTCTGCGGCGCGCTGGGCTTGCATTATTTTTAGTGGCCATAAAGAGACACTGAATTTATGTGGCGGGCGGGGCCCGAGGTGGCCGATCGATCGCTCAAATTATCGCAGGAGCATGCAAAATTTATTAACAAACATAAAAATTGCTCGAGAATTTATTTCATCTTAATTCAATTTAACAACTTAAACAGCCATAAAGTGTTCACATTGTAAATCAATGCAACGTCCTATGCAGAATTCCCCCTGTCCACATGCATCTGCATCATATTCACTGGTGCTGGTGCTGGTGCTGTGAATAGGACTGGATCTTTAGCTGTAGCTGGAGCTAGGAAGCAGTAGTTGTGGCTGTGTGCTGCTCCTTGTGCTCCGTAAATTTATGAGCTGTGCTTGAAAATGAGTCAAAACAAATTATGCCGCGACTGATTGACAGCGCGTTCCTTGCGAATTGCAGACGCCGCTTTAAATGGCGAAACCAATTCATGGTGATTATGATGTGAACGTTGCGCTGCCAAAGATGTCCATCAGCAGGCCCAACAATTTTGAGCTATTAATCATTTCACTAAATATGAGGGTGGATCAATAACTCAACTTCAAAGGCCAAAAGCTACTCTCACTCTCTGATATGCATCGTTGATGTACAAGTTGTGGCTCCATTTTCTGTAAAATCCATTTGACAGCCATAAAATCTAATCCCAAATGGCTGCGGGAGATTTTTAGCCGTGATTGGGCTGAACGATAAGATCATATCTTCTCATTCTACGAAAGTGAGTTTCTTTTAGGATATCTTTACCAAACTATTCAATTTGAAATTATATATCAATTTGAATACTACGAATATCATATTTTTTGTGGAAATAATTTATTGTGGATGGGTAAATTGTGAAATAATTTAAAATAAATTTAAAATGGACGTATGCAAGTGAATGGAGTCTGAGAATGAATGATAAGGAGAAGGGGCCTAATCTTGACAGAAGCAGCCGCTGGCAGAATTCTTCTTGATCCAGTCAACGAATTTGCTCACTCTGGCATAGACACCAGGCGCGTTCGCCTGTGCGCAGCCATAGCCAAAAGACACAACACCCGCGAGCTTAAAGCGTCCCTCGTTAACAATCAGTGGACCGCCGCTGTCGCCCTGGCAGGCGTCCTTACCACCAGATTTGACCAAGCCGGCGCATAGCATCACATCGACAATCTTGTTCTTGTAGCGGGTGGAGCGGCACTGCTGGTTGGTGATGATTGGCACACTCACCTCCTGCAGATAGTTGCTGGTGGAGCCGCCCTCCTTGACCAAGCCCCAACCAGCCACAGTAGCCTATTTGGAAAACAAAGAATTTCGTTCAAGCACAAAACAAAGGACAAAACCAAGACAACAATCTTACCGTTTTACCATCAAAGTTGTGATTTACATCGGGCAAGCAAACGGGACGCATGTTGCCCGTAAGTGGAACAGGTGACTCTAGGCGAAGAAGTGCCACATCATTGACAATGGTTGTGGGATTGTAGCTGGGGTGAAGTGTGATCTGCACCACCTTGCGCACAATGCCAGGATCCCTAGAGGATCTATCCGTTTGCAGTAGGCGCACTGTGATCTGATCCTTATTTCCATGCACACAGTGACCTGCTGTGAGCACATAGCGATCATTGATCAGCGAACCGCCGCAAAATAGGCGCGGGTAGTGGCGACCCTTGACAAGCTGAGCGGTCCACGGATACTTATTGAAGCGCACTTGCTGGCCGCCCACAATACGATTGGCATTCGGAGTACCGCAGACTGAATCAAGAACAAAACTATTTAATACAGAATGGGCTTCAAGTAGTTTGAGTACTTACAGCAGTTGGCCTTGGTGGTGCATGCCGTAAGACGTTTGCCCCGCTTTGGACGAGCCCTTTCATTAGTCATCGTTTCCTTTGGCTGTTCCACTAGATTCACGACATCGCCAAATTGCTGATTGAGCGTTTGTTGCGGCGCCAAATATTGATATTGTGCCAGCGCCAGGCTGCAGCCGATCAGCAGCAGCGGCAGGGCGAGATAGCTACGCATCTTGATTGGAGTTGATTTCGGTGGCGAGTGACGATGATGTTTGCACAACATGTGCTACTTATACCAAGTCGACCAGCTCATCGAGATCATCTTTTATTTTGATTTCAATAAAACTTAATATATAAATGTTTTACTGCTCGCTTAACCATCTCGCGATTTGCTTCTTTCTTTCTGTCTTGCTTGCTGTCTTTCTCCGCTTTCTTTGTTTGCTTTCAGGTTTATTTGCATAACACTTAAAACTTGCTCCCAGCCAGAGCCGAATTTGCAAATAAACTGTTGATTGTTATTGTTGTTTTTGTCCACAAGAAGTGGAGCAAACTTTAAGCCGCCTCCACATATGCCGCTGCTTAATGGACTTTTAATGCGTTACTCGAGAGGCATAGGCATAGTCATCGTCATCGTCATTGTCATCGTCATCGTCATCGTCATCGGCATCATCATTATCATTATTTGTGACCCAGCTGTGTCCAAAAGCAACTTAAACTAATACTCGCAGAGTTGGCAGTTTCGAGTGCTGTTCATTCGATTTGTGTTCCAATCGCACTCGCAAATTCAGACTGCGAATTCATTCATTGCCAACAATTGGCAGCATAAATTCTCGTATACTTACAGCATAAATATCCTTTAAGTGCCGGTTATCCGGTATCATCATTAACCAGCAGCCAAACGCCCGCTTTCACGCTGCTACGCATAATTTACAAGGCATTATACATTTTTTAGCATTTTTTTTTGTTGCCATATTTTATGTAGCAGAACCCGAGCTGCAATCTTGGTTTTTTATTCGCCCCACTCCTCTTTGCTCTCTGCTTGCTGGCTGATCATATTTTCAGGTCTGGAATGTCGTCGCTTTTGGTGTCTGCCCCCAAAATGGAGCGCCGCAGGCTCATTGTGCATCGGACGCTCGGCAAAATAAATTAATATTAAAAAAAAAATAAGAACAGAAAAAAAAATGTAATAAACGCGTGTCGTTCGAGACTGATGCAACATGTGGCACATCTTCTGATGCATAAAATTGCCAATTCAATAATTTTTTAATTAATAAATTATGTGGGGCAAGCTGTAATCAAATTGGCCATAATATTGCACCTGAAAAAGGTATTATTTATGTTAAATACTACATTATTTTGAAAGGGCAGTAACAATTTAATGGAGTTTTTGTTGGCACAGGGGAAATAACCGATTTGGAGCAATCCAAACACGAGATCGTAATTACAAAGATATCTAGACAGCAAGAAACTATTCGCTTAAACATTAAAAGAGAAAATAACATCTTGCTGCATAAATCTTTTTTAAATTGAAATAATTGTTTGTAGGAAAATGCCATTTATCATCAGTTTTCGACCTACTTCTAATAATGGATTTTACATTAAACTCATAAATCTCACTAAATTCAATTAGCCAAAATAGATTTATAGCTTAATACCTATGTGATTTATGCGAATCAATTCTAAACGTATGTTCATATTTCTCTACTAGTTGGCTCAAGCGTGTTTTGTTTAAAATAAAAGTAAAATAACTTTTACTCTTACGTCTATCATAATGGAATGCAAATATAAACATACTTAGCTTTTGTATTTTCGAAATTTCTTTGTTTTGCCCATTTGCATAGCTATAAAGTAGCGAAAACTAAAAACAGCAAAATCAACAAAACGAAACTAAAGCAAATATTATAACTAATTAGATGTGAACACGAGTCGTGACTTAATTATGAAATATGTCAAATCTGTTCAACATCTACATATGTATCTTCATTTGATATGATCGACGTCACGCGATTTTTTGCTGTTGAAAATCCTATTAATTGAACAGCTGCGGTAGCCACACTGGTAAGATAATTCCACAAATCAATTATGAAATACAATAATTGCGTTTGTTGCAGAGACTACAATTTAAACTGTTTGCAACATGTGACTGTTGCATGACAATTGCTCAGACATTCCTTTCTTGTTCTTTGCTGTGGGCGGGGCAGCATGACAACAATAACACGTATACACATACGTATAGTGCATTGAACCGGGTCAGCAAAATAAAGAACATAGGCAACAAACTTGTGGCATGTCAAACTGTAACAGAGAGTTTAGAAAGGTTGAATGGCATTTACCATTCACTTAAGCTGGGGAACTCTGCTAGTGGCAGTTACCAGTTTGTAAGTCAAACAGTCAGTCAGTCACTCATAAATTTGCATAAGAAGAGAATTGCATTATTTAAGGCTGCTGTTGCACGTTGACAGTCGCCAGTCGCCAGTTGCACTTATCTAAGCGGCATAAACAATCAAGGCAAAGCACAAGCATTTTAATTATTGTGTGTGACAGCGCAGCACACAAATCATGACTGCGTCTCTTTCTATCTCTCTCCCTCTCTCTCTCTCACTGTATGTCTGGATTGTGGCTGCAACTGATGTGCTGCATTTGATAACTGCCAGCAATGAAGACTTGGACCCTTAGATAATGCAAAGGAAGCAAGTCTTGCTGTATTTCAAATTTGTAGCATTCGCAGCCCGCTGGGCAAACAAAAGCCTGCTTCAGTCTGCAACAATGTCTAAAATTCTAAGATCTGTAGCGGTAGCTGCTGCTGCTGCTGCTGCTGCAACTGGCAACATCTTCTTCCTCAATGACATTAATTCATTTTGTATGCAAAGCAATCAGTGACAGTAGCCGTGGCCTCTCTGGTTCCAACTGCAACTCAGAATCTGACTGTGATTCTGACTTCATCTTGGACTCTTGGCAATTAGAAAAGAGTTGGAAAATTGTATGCGAGCATTGAGTCAGTCGCCTGTTCGGTGACTGTGGCGTTTTCTGGTACTGGTTCTGCAGCATTTCCAAACTGGCACTGCGCACTGATTTGCATTGCACGATTCTCAACTTAATTTAACATAAAGTAAACAAGGGCAGTTAACAAGTCAAATACAAGCCATGAGCGTGCGGGTGCCAGTTTTGTGACTCCAGCGCCAGCTCCATCTCCATCTCCAGTTCCAGCACCAGTACCAGCTTGAAGCTTGTCCAGCTTCTAACCAAAGGGTCCACAAAAACATGCACAAGCCATGCGTTGCGACGTTCGCCTGTCGTGTGACGTGTTTGTGAAAATTCTAAAATATTTGAGCTTGGCTCTTCTTGGCCCCTAAAGAGCTTTCTCACAAGTCAACGCCAGGCGCGAGACGCTTCAACATCAAGTATCGTGAGGAGTTTATTAAAAGACACGACAAACAGCCGCTCGCCTTCCTGCCAGCATCCCTACCTTCCTGTCTGTCTGCCTTCCTGGTCACTCCACGAGAGCTGAGCAGCATGCAAATCCTTTGTGAGGTAATTGCTCATTTGAGTTATAAACACGCACACACATAGTCCCTCTGCCTGCCCACTGCTCTGTTCTATCCCCATGTACCCATGTCGCCCATGTTTTCAGCCAGAGAAGGTAATCGTTGTTGTTATGCCCACGCCTCTGCTCCATGCTGTCTGCTTTATGCCCGGCAGAAGGGCCTGGTTCGGTTTTGCATGTCTAACAATTGTTCTTCTAATTGCGTTTATGGCCAAAAGGAAGCACTGGGCAAACCCAACTACATTGGCTTGTAAACGCTATCGAACAAGATAATCTGCACTAGCGCCCAAAAAAGGGTCTGTTGCGTGGACGTGTGGCGTGTGGCATGTGACATGTGACTTGCATTTGGGCACAGCAAACCGGTGCTGAATTCTGATTGAGTTCTTTAAATTGGCACTGATAGAAGTGCGCACTTATGGGCCGCCTATTAACTACTCCAGCAAATTGATAGCAGACTAAATAAGGTGCTCAGCAGATGAAGCGACAACTTGAAGCGGTTGCATATCTATATAGATGTAATAACTGCTGCCTGTGTTGACTGCACTGCAACTATGTAGGGAGCATTCCAGCTACGACATACTAATAAATTCTTTTATATCTAACTAAACTAATTTAATATTGGAGTTTATTCCTAAAAGTATGCTACACAAAATGCTAATGGGAAATTGAAAATAAGAACAACCTCGAAATTATTAGAGCTGAACTTTAAGTAATACAAAAAAAAAAATAAGCAAGCTCTTAAGACTACTTTCATTTTTGTTATTATTAAATAATATGAAGAATTTTTTGTTTATTAATTTAATTGCATCACAAACACGGCCTCTTACTTTTCGAATGATTTGCTTAATTTTCAAATTGAATTAAATACATTTGTAATGAGATTTTTATAGATTTTACAACAGCGCAAGGTTCAGTTCCAAGCAAATTTGAATTATCTTTGCTAATTTGAGCTTTGGCTGCACTAAACATGAATATTGTCACTTGTAAGTTTTTTTTTATTAAATTGAGAGATAAATAAACTCTATTCACAGTTTTAACTAGCAGAACCTGTCGTTGGAGTCAATTTTTGTGCCGTCTCGATATGCCGCCATAGATGAGCGCAGTGTCATGGCAACTCAGAGGCTGCAAGCAGATCGTGCAATTGACAGCTATGGGGCTGAGTGCAAAAAATATCAGTAACAAAACAAAGTTTGCGTCAAATAAGAAAAAAGGATAAACGACGCCTGGTGCGAGTTGTAATGGGTAGACGAGTGCAGGGGCAGCCACAAAAGACTGCACACATGTTGCCGACTGGTGTGTGGCTAACTTAAATCAGGGGAAAATTGAGGACCAGTACAGTGTCTAATGATAACTGCAGAAACTTTAAGGCGCGAGATTGTGAAAATTTCAACACAGCGACGATGGCAACGACTGCAACAAGCAACCACAACAACCCGACAACAACCGACAGCAGCAACAACAGCAACAAAAAAGACTACGACAAGTGTCAAACGAAGCTTAGATAAATTTCAAAAAGGGCAACAACATTGGCAGACACATGCCTTAGAATAACAGGCGGCAAAGATCGAGTCGCAAGATCAAGTCAAGTATTGGAGAGGCATATGGTTGTGGGGGAAAGAAGGTGGGACACTGAGACCTAACCTTGCCATGCCGCACAAGTAGCCTCAGGGCGGCCTCAGACTCAGTTTCAACATTCGCGA